ACCCCTAATCAAACCCAGTGAAGGTCCTGCCACAAAACCATCATTGGAAGAACAAAATAAAACTCTCCACATTGTAAAGGAATGCTATAAAAACCTTCAAAGGCACATGTTTCATTTTAGAGACTAAAGAATAACTTTTTAGGCATGTTTAAGATGGAATGGAAAGTGGAAAATAGCAAGGAGTCAGGGCACCTTTGGTTTCCCAGTGCCCACATTTCTTGGGCTTCCTAACCACGGTCTATCAAGAGGGGTGTGACTGTGTCCCAGTTCTGGCCCCTCACCTCCCCTGTCACTCCCACAGGAGTCTGAAATACAGATGTGGCAGTTTATCTTGTCTACTATGTCAGTAAAATCCCCCAGAACCAGGGGTCTGGGAATAGCCCCATCACCCTCACCAGCTGTGCCAGATGCCAAGAAAGACCGAACTTAGCCCCAGGGAACTGTCTGGTTATGTAATGAAGAGAAGAGGTTTACAAGAAGAGCTTGCATGAAAATCCAAACTGTCTGTGATGCAGTGAAAAACCCTCAAGCTTAAAACACACACAAATATACATTACGCTGGCCAGTCCCCAAGTATGGTGCCTGATTGAGGCCTCAAATCTCATCCAGCCAAGGCCTGAGGGAGGTGCATCAAACCATCTTACATTCACCAGAATCTAACAAAGAAGCCATTCTACTTTCATCTTGGTAGGACATCATTCTTTTTTTTTTTTTTCTTTTCTCTTTTGTAAGATGGAGTCTCACTCTGTCACCCAGACTGGAGTGCAATGGCATGATCTCAGTTCACTGCAACCTCTGCCTCCCAGGTTCAAGTGATTCTCCTGCCTCAGTCTCCCAAGAAACTGGGATTGCAAGTGTGTGCCACTATGCCCAGCTAATTTTTTTTTATTTTTAGTAGAGACAGGATTTCACCATGTTGGCCAGGCAGGTCTCGAACTCCTGACCTCAGGTGATCCGCCAGCCTCAGCTCCCAAAGTGCTGGGATTACAGGCATGAGCCACCGCACCTGGCTGATTATGTTTCTTTTCTACAGATCTTGCTCTAAGAACTGAAATCAAAGACCACTTCCTTGAAAGAGCCAGCTGCTATTCTGAGTCATAGAGAAGCCATCTGAGCAGTGTAGAGCACCATGATGCTGGCTCTGCCACAATGCGGGTACTCAACAAACAGGTTTGCCATTGTCAAGTGCTGCTACCAACACTTGGTCTACCCAGAGATGAATCAGTCAGGGCCCCTGCTCATAAGCATTCACAGGCTTTCAGAACCAAAGAGCTGTGCACGGGAATGACTGTGATACGAGAAAGAGGGAACCAGGACCATGAGGAAGAAGCACAGGAAACTCAAGAGAGGTGATCAGAAGAGGCTTCCTGGAAGTGGGATTTGCAGAGCACTGAACTTTTAAGGCAGGGGTTGACAAACCACAGCCCATGTAAATGTCAAATATAGCCCACCCCCCATTTTTGTATGATCTGTGAAATAAGAATAAATCGTAAATACTTTAAGGATTACATTTTAAATTATTATGTAAGCACTTATGTAATATCCTTGATTTTGCCTCTCAGCTACTAAAGCATGAAATGTTTTTACAATCTGATCCTTTAAAGAAGTTTGCCAGCCCGTGTTCTAAGGTACGCAAAAAAAAAAACTCAAGATGGTAAAATCAGCTAATGTTTGCTGAGAGGTTACTGTGTGCTATGGATGCTACACTGTGCAGATAGTATTTATTCTTCACAATATGCCTATAAGGGTAATATTGTTCTCACTTCACAGAAGAGGAACCTGATTCATAGAGAAGTCAGTAACTTTTCCAGAGTCTCAAGTGTAAGTCTGATCCCAAAGCTGTCCTCTCAATCTCCAACTTTGATGTTTGTCCAATAGCCTACAGAGAGAATACGTAAGCAGAGGCTTAAAGCTCAGGACACATGTAAAAAACAAGCCCTCTTCTGGCTGGAAAAAAAGGAAGCAGAGGCCAGAAATGGTCAAATTATGGCAGGAATTGCCAAGTAGAGAATAATTCTGCAACTAATGCATGGTAAATAACATGGCATAAGATAATTTCATTGCAACAAAACCTGTTTATAGTAGCAAAAAATTGAAAACAACCTAAATGTCTATTATTAGGTGGTTATATTATGGAATGCCATGCAACCTGGGAAAAAACCAAAGTCATTCTTCAGCTTCATTGTATTGGTCAGCTACTGCTGTATAACAACACCAAACTCTTAATGGCACACAATTAGCATTTACTTTCAGGTGTGTGTAGATCAGTTGAGTTCAGCTGGGTAGCTCTGGGTTGCTGATTGGACCCACATCTGTTCCACTCATTGCTCAGCCTCCTGGGACCAGTAGTCTAGGTATGCACACTCTTCTTGTGAAGATGCAAGAGGCCCCAGAGGCAAATGGAAACAACCAAAGCATGGGCTCAGAACTGACATATGACCCCTTCACCTTCATCTGTTAGCCTAAACAAGGCTCATGGACCAGCCCAAAGCCAAGGGACTTCCAGCTTCGGTAAAAGGAACTAAAGAGTTACACAGCAAAGGGTGTGGACATGAGAAGAGGTGAAGAATTAGTTAGAACGATGACTCAACTAACTTCTTAAAGTATTACAAAACAACATCTAAAATGTATGTGGATACCTGCCACAGCTGACACTACTCCTTAATCACAGTGATAGCCACGTACATGTTCTCTTTCTCAAAAGCCAAAGTTGACTAAGGGTGACTTCCACATCTGAGATGAGCCTTTTAATCCCATCCATCCTCATAATTCAATGTGGTTAACATTGTCTGTACTGCCCACCACATTGCAAATGAAGTGGCTGACGTCTGCTCTGCCCGCCCCCTTGAACATAATGTAGCTGCCACGTGTACCACCACAACATTCTACCACATTGCCCTCAAGGCCCCCAGTGTAATCCAAGGAGATGCTGAGAGGAGGGTTCTGAGAATGCCCAGTTCTGCACCTGAGGCCACGCCTTGCTTGCTCAGGTGCCTGACTCTAGACCTGTGTTCCTAACGGCCACGCCACCCTGCCGCATGTGCCCGCCTTCATGGCCACCATCTGTAAGTTGCATGTCTGAGATCTCCCCAGCTGCTTTTCCCCTCCAAGGTTATTCTCGACCCCTCCTTTTTTTTTTTTTCAGCTAAAAAAAGTTTCATAGGCTAAAATCACATTTAGGGCATTCAATGACCCAGAGCCTTAATGGCTGCCTGTGAGACCAGTAATCCCAACCTGACAGAGCTTTGAGGCCAAGGCCTAGGGAGCAATTCTGGGTGGGCCAGTGGGGAGGGATGTACCCATGGTAGAAAAGGAGGCAAATTCAGGGGTGTGTGTGTGTGTGTGTGTGTGTGTTTATAATGGAGTCTTCAAAAATCTTTCTGAAAATGTCTCCCCAAAATTTTAAGAACTTCCAATTCTGGTAACAGAGAACTAAGATAATCCAAACCAGCCCTTCTGCTGAAGCTACTAAAAACAATCTGAGCAAAAGATGTTTAAAAGCACTTAAACATTAACAAGGCACTGAAGAAGTACCAGGATCCGATCTGATGGCAGCAAGACCCAGGGAGGCGAGGCCAGCTCTCAAAGCCACGTCAGCCCTGTGGCATTTGTAACCCTGAAGAAAAGCTGGTGTTTTATCAGCCTGCTTGGGCGCAAAATGTTCAAGGCCCACTCAAGATGAGGAGTCCTATTAACCACCATTTAGATAAGACCCCAAAGGCCAAAATTGTCATCAACCAGCAGAAACCCAGCCCGGGCATGCACTGCACAGAACGCACTCTCCCAGTCCAGCGAGTCCTCTCCATGGGCAATGGGTGGGGTGTGTGCCTGCCCACTTTAAGAAGGAACATACTTTACATTTGGTGAGTGACTGCAGAAGGTCATTGTTGTTGATTTCTGTGTTCACTTGAGGATGCACTATTAGTCATCTCTACAATTGCTTCGATGGCGAGTTCTTGGTTAGAAACACTGTGCCAAATCATTACATTGTGCCTAAGGAACACATACTTCCATCTGTGACAATCAACTCTGTAACGTGGCTCATGGACCCACATGGCAGCTGAAAACAAGTCCTGCCTCTGTAAATGCGAAGTTGTGAAATGCATTGTTTATTTTAAGCAGTATATTGCTAAGCAAAAAATCTAGAATCAGAAAATCTTGGGTTCAAATCCCCCTGTTTTACCACGTAGAGGCTGTATAACCCTCAGTAAATTATGTCTCATTTTCCTAATCTGTAAAATATGGATAATAATGATAACAACAATACCCACAATAGTCAGAGGGACACTAGGGGATGTCAAATACTCAGCCAAGTGCCTGGCTACCAATTAAATGCTTAATAAATAGCTGTTATTACTAATTTTAGCAGAAATGTTATCCTGGTTACCACCATTTAGAATAATAATGATACAATAATAATAATGGTAGTGATTAATAGTAATAGTTACAGATCACGGGCCAGAGATTGTTCATGAGTCTCGAACTAACATCTGTGAATGTTCCAAGGTGGATAATTAAAGGTGCACTATATTCACGTGACTGTGAGATGCCGGCCTAGCACTGCATATCTTGCAAGTAGATTTGATCTCTGACCCCAGAGGCTCCTGGGTCAGGTTGGGAGATAAGAAATACACACCCAAGGCCATGGGCAGCTAAGAGGTCCCACAAGAAAGGAAATGAGTTTGTCTTTAAGGAGAGGGAGGTGGGAAAAGAAACCAAGGGCTCCAGGAAATTCAAAAGTCATTCAAAATGGCTTCAGTTGAATCAATTGGGAAGGTCTGGCTGTGAGTTGTGAGGCAGTGCACAAGGGTGAATGTGGCACAGAAGCTGCCCTGGATGACCTCGCCCCCGCACCATGCATCGGAATAGACAGCAGGCCCCAGGCAGCCCCACACTCGGGTAATCTGTAGTCGAGCTGCTACACCAGGGGCCTGCACCCACCGGCCCTCCCTGAACAGCGGCTAGGACAGGGGTAGGAGCTCTCCAAGAGCCTCACTTACTCTCTCTGACATCTTCATGCGCCGCACGGACATGGTGATCATCACTGGCAGCCTTCTCGGAGCTCCTGGTTTTCATGCCTTTTTTGTTGCTGTTTTTACCTGAAAGGGGAGAGAGAGATGCCTTTACTTTCACATACGTCAGGGCTGGTTCAGGATGCTCAGAGCTTGACTGTCCTCTCCTGCACAGCGGCCATCTCCCCTTCTGCTTCCCTGTCTCTAAAGATGGTGTCTTGGACTTTAAGGGGTCTCTGGTTAAAGGAAAGGAAGAGTGTTATTAGAAACACCCAGGAAAATAAACACTCCTAATAAAAACAATGTACACCTGCAGGTTGTTACCATTATGAGACTGAAGGATGCTTTGGGGTAGTATATTTGACCCTCACTGAGGCCCAGAGACATCATTTGTAGTTTCTGGAACTGGAAGTGGAGCCTCAGACTTGTGATCCCAGAGCTAGCATTTTCCACCCTGTTGGGCTTCTCCCACCTAACTCTCTCCCAGGCCCTGGCTTGGTACCTGTGGGTAAGGATGCTGCCCCTCTTTGGGGAGCCTCCTTGGCATAGCCTGCGACACCTGCCTGCCATGCTCCTGCTGGCCCCTCGGCTCCTTCCCACGCTGCAGTCCCTCTCCGTGCTCCAGCGACGCTGGCTTCCGCTCAGCCTTCAGTTCACTCTGCTTTCCCACCAGAACTCTGTGCTACGTTGTTCCTCCTCCTGGAGTGCCACTCCCTTCACTTTCAAGCTAATTAGCTCCTACTGATCCTGCAAATCTCAGCTCTGGCATCACCTCCTTAAACTGGCTTTCCTGACCTCCCCACTAAATCAACGCCACCTTGATGGATGTTGATAGCACCTGTTTCAGGTCAGGTTGCCTCTAGGCAGAGCCTAGGTTTACATGCACAAGGTGTATTGAGGGAGAAGGGAAGGAAGGGAAGCAGGACCAGGTCGGGAAAGGAGCTAAGCAAGGCTGTGATTTCAACCAGAGTCGGGCTCAGCCCATCCCACAGGAGCTCTGGAGGAGCAACTGCACACAGGGTTGCCCTGACTTGGGACAAAGAGCTGTCATTTCTACTGCAGTTGGCCTCTGGCTACAGTCTGATCCACCTGAGAGTGGGAGATACAGCCTTCCAAGGGCCCTTCTGCAGAGGTGGAAGCAGGTGTGAGCTACCTGCAGTGGAGACTCCTGGTACGTGGGGGCTGCGTGTCCCTGTGGGTAAAAAAGACCTGGGTAGGGCACTGGCAGCCACACCACAGCTCTGCACCTGTCCTGAGTGGCAGCATCCCAGTGGTAATGGGATGTGTCTGTTAATGAGGACAGGGACAACGTCTGGCTTGGCTCACTGCTCTGTCTCCAGAGTCTGGGACTTAGAAGGCTGTGACAAATGAATGAATACATGAAGGAACAAATGAATCAGTGAGTGAGTGACCAAACAGAAACAGGAGGCTGGATAGGTCTGCAGAGAAAGAAACGCAGCTTGAACTTTAAAAGTCAGTTGAAATACCAAAACGATCTGGTGGATTCTGCCAGTAATGAAATCATTTCTGACTATTCTACAGCCGTCCCCTAAAAGAACTTTTTTTAAGAAAACCTTAAATCTTCAAGAAAGTCAAGTAGTACCTTGGGCCCAGCGAAAGGAAACCCCCTTTTTCTTATATTCTTGGGTGGGGCCTGCTGGAAGTATCTTTCATTTTCATGTAAGCTGAAAGAAAATAAAAGTAAGTAGGTGCCCCATTAGCGTCTAGAAGCCAATTAACTGAAACTTCCCTAAAGGCCAGAGGAGGAAGGTGAGTCAGAGCTGGACCCACATCTCTGCCCGATGCTGCCTCGGCCCATGTCCTGCTTCTGCGGGTGGGAGCATCCCAGCTGCTGGGAAAAACATGGAAGAAAGCCTCCTCCACCAGAGCCGACCCAGGGCTCCATAAAGGCCTTAGTGGGGCCACAAAATCAGGAGTATAACTTTTGAAAGGCTGAGTTGGATTTTGTGGAAACATAGGATGTTTTAAGAAAAGAAAGAAAAAATGTTTCACAAAATACGTGAGAAAAAAGCCAAAGTTCTGGAAAATAACACCCTCTTCCAGCCTGCCCCAGAAGATGGTGTTCACAGCAGGCTTCCTCACCCAGGGCCGCCTCCCTGGGGCCTCCATGGGACAGGGAGGGAGAATAGGAGCCAGGCAGCCCTCAACACTATGGCCTGGGCAGCCCTCAACATCATGACCCGGGCAGCTTCCAATGTCATGACCTGGGCAGCTCCCAACACCATGGCCAAGGCAATTCCCTTCCCCACCCACACACCAAAATACCATGGCCTGGCAGCCCCCACACCACAACACGATGGCCCAGGAAGCTTCTAATACCACGGCTTAGGCAACCCCCTGCCATCAATATACCATGTCCCAGGCAGTCCCCACACCACAGCCTGGGCAGCCGTCAATACTAAGGCTTGGGCAGACCCTACACCATGGCCCTGCCAGCCCCCATACCACAACACCATGGCCCAGGTACCCCAGGCCCAGGCAGATTCAGGCCTACGAGGAAATGGCTCCGCTCAGCTCTGGGACTCCAGTGAAAATCTGCATGCCAGGCGAAGGTCTTGCTACACTGAGAGTGTGACTCCCCTGGCAGGGGAATGGGGAGTGGGATCAGCATGTGGGAACAGACTCCCTGAAGGGAGTGGCTGATGGGGCTGAGACAGCAGGCGGGGGCCCAGCGCCTACGCTGGGGAGGAGGCAGCTGGCAGCTGGAAGCAGAGGCCTGAGGGCCTGGTTCCAGTCTGGGGTGCTGTCACATCTGCCCCTGCACCCCCAGGTGAGTCCTGGAATGACCTCGTCACCTCTCTATGCTTCAGGTCCCTCATCAGTGAAAGGAGAAAGCAACAGTACCTGCCACAGCGAAACTACCAGCAGGAAACAAAAATGCTGCCTGAAGCATCTAGGGCGACCCTGGCCTGCACCTGGCCTGCACCTGGCCTGCAGCCTCACTGAGCAAGGCCTCCATCTTCTCACCTACCACAAAGAGCGACTCCAGTTGCTAGAGGAATAACAGCTAATATGTGTAGCATGGTTCAAAATTTACAAGGCATTTCACAGAGATTCTAACAGGGTCTTATGTACATTACTTTATAGATGGGGACACAGATGCTCAGAGGGGAGAAGGGAGCTGCCCAAGGTCACAGACAGAGCCTGGAGGGGACAGAGCTGGAGACTGACTCCAAATCTGAGCCCTTCACGGACAGCATTCAGGCCTCCGCTTCATAGCCCCTTCCTCTCTCATAACAAGAAAGGCAGCATATGGTCCATGCAGATGAAAGAAAGCAAAATGGAAACAGTGTGCAGGAAGGGGCCAGGACGGAGCCAGCCTCTCCATCTGGGCCGCGTGACAAAACTGAATTCCTTAAAAGTAGCAAACTGAATTGCCAATGCGGGCCACATGTTCTATTCTGGTCTAAAGTGATAAATATAATTCTTGGTTAATAAAGAACTATTTTTCCCCTCACTATACAAAGAGCTTACAGTAGCAACCCCCCAGAAGCAGGAAAAAAAAAAATGCTTTGCTACAATTTTGCATTTTCCCCAGGAAATTCCAGTCCAACAGGCTCTGCATTCCTATAGTGAAGGACCTGGCCCAGGGCTCTGAGGTCCTTGCCTGCTTCTGCTTAAGGAACCCACATTAGGAGAAAGAAATGTCCAAAGAGGTTCTCTGGGGCTCCCCAGAATTGCAGCCTCAAGGCTAAATCACCACAAACACACCAGATCTGCTGGGAGGATCTGCTGGGAACCCTCACACAGGCAGAGCCAGGAGAACTTCACAGATGAACAAGAAAATCTAAACAAAAGCAGTGAGAAATGCCTACTCTGTAAGATGCTGGCAGGGAAAGGCCATGACACAGGGAGGAACTGCCTGCACCCTTATCCAATTCTGAGGATAGCAAACTCCCAGAAGAAACAAGAATCCAGGGGATCAGTGGTGCCGAAGGGCGAGTTGAGCAGTGGACTGACGCACTGGCTTCCATCCGTCTCACTGATCTCAATGGGAATGGTAAAGAGGCTGTGGGCTGGACATAGAGGTACTCAAGAAACTCTCTAAGAACTTTTTACCAAGCCTAGACCAAAATCAATCAAACAGTCCATCAAAATCTCTCTCTCTCTGTCTCTCTCTCTCTCTCTCTCTCTCTCTCTCTCTCTCTTTCTCTCTCCATTGTGTCTTCTCTGGGAAACCTGCCTGGTCAGTTCCACCCTCCTCTGGGCCAGCCTTTCATACAGAAGACCTGACCTCAGATCTGGGCATAAGGAACGGTGGGCTTGGCTGGGGTAGCAGTGCCCTGTGGTCCCCCACACCCCCTCTCTGTGCAGCCAGCAGCCACCTTTCCGACTTGCCACCAAATAGAGTCTTTTGTCTTTAAAGAGACACCCTGGTAACAGCAGCAGGTGGGTATCTGCAGACACTGTGCAGGGAGCTGTTGGTACCTGCCCATCTCATTTTAGATTCCACCTGGCAACAGAGCCTGAGACAAGAAGGCCTTGGGCACAGTGCTGTAATCTGGGAGGAGATTTCAAGTAGCACAGGGGAAAAGGTGAAGGGGAAGCACCATAACTCAGGCTGTGTTGTCTGGCAGGACTCAATGGAAACTCAACCTGGCTGGGAACTCGGGATGGGGAGACGCCTCTGAGGTGGGGAGGGGAGATGCCTTTGAGCTGCCCCTCCAGAAGCTGGAAGGCTGGGAGGCTGGGCACTGACCCATCTAATTGCACACCTCCTCCAAAAGCTTGGGTTATTAATTGTTCCCATGCCATGTTCCCATGCCACAGTGAGGAATTGAGGCTTGGAGAAGTCACAAATGCCCATGAATGGGAGAACCAGAGATCTCAGCTCTCTCTTAATCCTGAAAAAACTTACCACGGACCACCTACCTGTGCCTAGCATGAACCAGGCATTCCATACAAGTCTGTGAAATCAGACATAAATTAATATTTGAAGGTGTTTTGTGCCATGCCAACCATCCTATGATGCCCAATGAGTAGCCAGCTGGCTGCCAGCCAGATGGAGATACCAACACTTCCAGTGGCCATCTAGAGAAACCCTAATTTCCTAGGTTTTGTGATTC